ATATATATGTATGTATTTTTTTATTGTAGGTTTTCTACGGCGAGAGAGAAGCACAAGCTGTTGGATATAACTGTACGTCGGTTGATGAGAAAAAAGAAAATCAGAACCTGAGCGGGCTGAGATATTTTAAAGAGAGCATAAGAGCAAGATGAACAAAAAGAGGATTTTATTAAATGATGATGAGCTGATTATATACACAAATAAGTTTCAGAGTCCCTGTGAAAAAGTTCCTTCTATAGTGGTAACAAACCAGAAAACAAGAAAAATAAATTAACAAACTCCTCAAATGGTTGAAACAAAATAATAACCTATGCAGTAAAACAAAGTAGATACAATAATGTTACAAAGCAGTAACATTAACTTCTAATACACCTCCCTCAAGCTAGATGGTGTGCAACAACACCTAACTTGGATGAAAAATGGCGACGGAATGAGTTTTTTGGAAGCAGTTTGGTAAGAGTATCAGCCAATTGGTCAGAACTAGGAATTTGCTTGAAGATAAGGCACTTATCGTTAACCTGTTGGCGAACATAGTGGAAGTCTGTTCGCCAACAGCTATATGCTTCATGCGGCTATGAAGAGTGTTGTTCTTACATAAGTAGGTGACACCAAGGTTGTCACTGAAAATTGTAGGTGCTGTGGGGATATAGACATGAAGTTCCTTGACAAGATTTTTTTACCCAAGTGATCTCATCAACAGCACTAGGAACAGCCCGGTACTCTACTTCAGTAGACGAGCAGGCAATGGTGCGTTCTTTTTTTGTTGACAAACTAACTGGAGTAAAGCTGAGATAAATAATATAACCGGTGGTGGAACTTCGATCAGTGAGGTTGTCGGCCTAATCAGCATCAGAAAACTCAGAGAGATTAAGATTGGTGCTTGGAGCAATCCGAAGGCCATAGTTGGCAGTGTTTTTGAGATATCGAATGAGGCGCTTAACAACCTTCCAGTGAGTTTCAGAGGGCGCGGTTTGGTTTGATTTGACTTTTCGGTTTGGTGCAGTTTCTCGGTTCGGTTTGTACACCCCTAGTTTTGACAGTTTCAACAATGTGCCTATGACGACGCTCGGTTATGACCACTCTTTGCGGTGTATAAGGACGTGATACAAGGTGTTCAATTCCAATTTTTTGAAGATACGGATCAAGACCTTTGTATTCACCTCCTCCATCGGTACAAAGAGAAACAATTTTCTTTTTTGAAAAAGTTCTCGATTAAGGCATGAAGTTTGGAAAAAAATGTCGCGAACCTCATGTTTGTTTATAATCGTGTAAGACCAAATGTATTGAGTGTACTAATCAATGAAAACACATTAACATTATTTTTTATCAATGGAAAGAATAGGTGATGGAACCTACAAATAACTAAAAAACTTTTGTAGTGAAGAAGTACTGTTTAGAGATAAATAATTGAATAGAAATCATTGAACTTTATTTGAACAAGATGAATTACAAAAAGTAAACTTGTTTGTTGATGAAACTAGCAGAGAAAATTAATTCAAAACAAATTTCAGAATTCTTGAATGGGGATGACCAAGACGACGATGCCAAACACGATGACGAACTGCTGTAGTAGTGACTTGAACACTAGGCTTGTTAACATTGAAGTTCGGCCATTCGTAGAGTCCATTCCTATTTCGGTCGGATACCAGTAGAGTCCATATTTTCAAGTCCTTCATAAAGAAAGAAAAGGGGATAAATTCAATTAAAGTTAAATTATCTTGACAATATTTTGACACAGAAACAATATTCTGTTTGATAGCAGGTGCCACAAACTGTTAGTCAGTCTAAAAGCTTTATTTGATGCAATTAATTCAGTATAACCATGATGAGTAATTGAAATTTTTTTTTTTATCATCTCCAATAGCTATGCCTTCCGAACCATTATATTCTTTAATATTGGTAGGCTCTGTGGTGACATGATGAGTAGGACCAAAGTCGAGAACCCATTGGTCGATTGCTGCTTGTGTACCTGAAAAAAAATTTGCCTTTGCCTCTAAATGATTATGAGACTGTGACCTGCAAACATTTGCAGTATGACCTTGTCGGTTGCATAACTGATAGCGAACAGGGTTATTGGTGGAATCATTGTTTGTGTAACTCCCTTGAGTAGGAGCATTAGTACAATTGTTGTAACGCCATTGTGAGTTGTTGTTGGGTCGACGAACATTGCGGTTGTTGGAATTATTGGACTTTTTGCGAGTTACCAAAGCAGTAATAATCGAAGTGGTTTCCATCTTCAATTCCTCATGTTTGAGAAAGAGCTCATGATAAATTAGTTTGGCAAAAACTCCTCGTAAGAGACGATGGAATCTCTTGCTCGGATTGCACCGGAAATCACATGAAAATTTTGCCCTAGACCACTCAGAATTTTCACAATCAACTCATCGTTGGAGATTGAAGCACCGGCAGTGGCAAGCTCATCGCACAGAGAGCGCACTTCATGGAGATAATCGGCGAGTGGACGGGAGTCATTGGATAGTCATGCGAGCTGATCGCGAAGGCTAAAGACTTGTGTTTGGGACCTGTTGGCATAAGCCATGTGGAGGGAGTCCCAGGCAAGTTTAGCAGTAGAGGCAGTAGCCACAGTTGTGGCTATTGTCGAATCGACAGAAGGCATTATGGCATTCTGGATCAACTGATCTTGACGGAACCAAATGTTGTAGATTGGATTCTCCACTTGTCTATCATTTTGTGTGATAGTTTTCGAAGGAGTGGGAGAAGTACCGTCAAGGTGACCGAATAGATTGTGCCCAGGCATGATCATAAAAATCTGGGCTTTCCATGTCGCGAAGTTATGGCTGCCAACAAGCTTTATCGACAGATGTGACGCGGGATTAAACTGAACAATAACACTAGAGATGTTGCTACTGGAGTCTGCATTTGTTACATCAGGGGCCATTTTAAGTGTGACCTGTGGTGGTAGTCAGAGGATCGAAAAAAACTCATGAGAGTCAAGGAGAGTGTTCAGATACCATATAAGAGAAAGATGAACAAAAAGATGATTTTATTAAATGATGATGAGCTGATCATATACACAAACAAGTTACAAAGTTCATGTGAGAAAGCTCCTTCTACGGTGGTAGCAAACCAAAAAATAAGAAAAATAAAATAACAAACTCCTCAAATGGTGGAAATAAAATAACTAACTTATACAGTAAGACAAAGTAGATACAATAATGTTACAAAGCAGTAACAGTAATTTCTAATATAGAGAGAGATCAAGTAGCGAATTGCGCAAAGAACTATAGATGGCGGATGATTTTGATTTCGAAGGTGCAAATTAAAAATCCCAGAAGCTAGCACTTTTAAAGAGTTTGGCTTCAAAAGGAGACCTCAAATACTCATATGAGGCCAAAGTAGCTTTAATTTGCCACATTAGTAGTCGAAGTCATGGTTATCTTTGTTGGAGTTTTTATCTAATTAGATAAGAGGTATGAATGGGTAATGGAGGGAAAGGATTTGGAGGGAAATGAAAAGTTTGAAGTTGTTTTCTTTACTAATGCACTTTGTCCCTCATCGAAAAATGGAAAAAAATCTTTGTGATTATATAGAGAAGCACATCTTTTAGTTCTTAAAGAGTAAAGAAGAAGTGGTGCCTCGCGCCATCGTTGTCACTCGCTCAGTTGGGCTTCGGCTTCAGATTCTGAAATGGTACCACATATGAATAGGTACCTTCGCACCTATTCAAAACAGTCTGTTTGGCTATAAATTCAAAGGTTTTGCCTTATTTTCTAGCACCGAAAATCTGCATACTCTCCCCTCTCTCTTCTGCATTTCTGTACTATTTTTTCAAAGCAAAACGTAAGCATAAGTTTGGTTTACTGTCGTTAGTTGAGTTCGACGAAGTTCTATAATTTCCATTACGCTATTACGAAATAGTTGATCCGTTCTATCCTGGGATGGATTAATCTAATAACATTGGGCAACTGTGAGCGGATTGAATTCCTTAAGGAAACACAATTTTCTGTTGGGCTAGAAAGTTTAATTTATTCTGTTTCTATTCTATTTCTGCTTCTGTTTTGTAACGACCCGGCCGGTCGTTTTTGAAAATTACGCCCCGATCCCCCATTAACTGCTTCCCCTAAGTTCATTTCTACTATTTTGGTTTGCCGGGACGTTCGGTGTTGAGTTTTGGAAAGTTTTGGGACACTTAGTCCCTAAATGAGAGCTTAAGTGTTGAAAAGTGGTCCGTAGTCGGAACAATATGAAGACGACCTCGGAATGGAAATCTTCCGTTAGCTTCGTTAGGTGATTTCGGGGTTGGAAGCGTGTTCGGAATGTATTTTGGGAGCTCGTAGCTCATTTAGGCTTGAAATGCCGAAGTTTAATTTTTTTTGAAGTTTCCGGTCCGATAGTGAGTTTTTGATCCGAGGGTCGGATTGGAATTCCGGAAGTTGCAGTAGCTCCGTCATGTCATTTGGGATATGTGGGCAAAATTTCAGGTCATTCGGACGTGTTTTGGTTAGGTTTTTGATCGAAAGCATATTTGGAGGAAACTTGTAGTTCTTAGGCTTGAATCTTTGATTTAATCGGGTTTTCGGTGTTGTTTTAGGTGTTTTAAGGATTGGTGCAAGTTTGAATAAGGTATTAGGTGGTATTGGTGCTTTTGGTTGAGGTCCCGGGGGCCTCGGGATGATTTCGGGTGGTTAACGGAAGAATTTTTAAAGTGTTGCAGCAGCTAGTTTTTTTCTCTCTTCTGGTATTTTCGCTTCTACGGCGTGGGAACCGCAGAAGCGGAGCCGCATAAGCGGCCATCCCATCGCAGGAGCGGAATTTGGGCTCCCTTCAGTTTCTGCAAGTGCGGAAGTTTGACCGCAGAAGCGGTTACGCACCTGCGAGGTATAAGTCGCAGATGCGGCCCTGGGTCATTGGTGAGAAACCGTAGAAGCGGTAAGTATTTCGCAGAAACGGCTACCGCAGGTGCGGTTTAAGACCGCAGAAGCGGAACCCCTGGATTTTAGCTAATAGCCGCAGAAGCGGCATTTGTTCCGCATAAGCGGGACCGCAGATGCGGTCCCTTAACCGCAGAAGCGGAAATCCCTGGGCAGAAATAGAAATTTCGAGGGTTTGAGTTCATAAGTTACAAAAATCAATTGAGAACTCGGGTAAGGGCTATTTTGAGTGAGTTTTGAAGAGAAGACTATTGGGTAACGTTTCCTTAATCCCTTCTAGTTATATTTCATCATTATATAGTTAAATGTATCATTGGAATTCGAATTTAGGATCAAAATTGGATAAATTTGGGGTAAAACTTCGTTAGCTAAATTATGGAGTTTTGAGTGAGCATTTGAACTCCGATTTGGGAGAATTTTTATATGGTTAGACTCGTGTGAGTACGAGGGTTCTGAAAATGTGAAAATTATTCGATTCCGAGGCGTTGGCCTGTAGGGCATTTTGGTCATTTCACCTAATTTTACGCCGTAGCTTTGAATTTATTAGCAAAACCAGGTGTTTGCGATGTTATTTACAATGTGTAATTGAATTGAATAGATTTGAGCCATTTGGAGTCGGATACTCGTGGCGAGAGCGTGATTTCTAGTTGATATTGAGCCGGTTCGAGGTAAGTGGCTTGTCTAACTTTGTGTGGGGGACCTTTTTCCCTTAGGATATGATCTTGAATATTTGAATGCCCCGTACGTGAGGTGACGAGCGCATACTTGAGCTAATTGTTGTAAATCCGTTTCTACTTGAAGTATTTAAATTGAGCTTTCTTGTTTACTTGTTCATTTTAACTGTAAGTTTGTACCTGTGCTAGCTTAGAGACTCATGTTTAGCTGGCTTGCCTGCTTATTTGCTTTAACTGTGCTATTTGTACTCTGTGAAGCATGTTAGGCTATAATTTACTACTTCGTGTCCTGATTTTTAGCATTGTTCCGAGATTTAGGAATCGTTGTTGTTGTGTGTTTAATTTGGGACTACGGGACGGCTTCCCGGGAGATCCCTCTGTACTTGAGATATTCTGTACTGAGGGTGCGGGATACCAAGAGATCCCCGTCACATGTGTTTCTATATATATATTTGGATACCAAGAGATCCCCGGTTTACTTATTGAGGATACCAAGAGATCCTCGGGATACTAAGAGATCCCCGACTTACTTATTGAGGATACTAAGAGATCCTCGAGATACCGAGAGATCCCCAGTGTTGATGATGAGGATACCAAGAGATCCTCGGGATACCAAGAGATCCCCCGGCTACTATTCCTTGTGAGGGCAGTTTTCCGTGTATTGTTACCTTTGCTTTCTATTACTGTTCTTCCTTATTTACCTGGTTTAGATTCTCGCTGTAGACTTTATTTAAACTATTTCTGTTATCTCATTATTTATTATGTTATCTCAGTAGGGCCCTGACCTTCCTCGTCACTACCCAACCGAGGTTAGGCTTGGCACTTACTGAGTACCGCTGTGGTGTACTCATGCCCTTCCTGCGCATGTTTTTCATGTGCAGATCCAGGTACTTCCTCCCAGACGTATCATCCTCGTGGTGGAGAGTCCTAGCTGAGACTTGAGGTACATCTGCTACGTTCACAGACCAGGAGTCTCTACTCTATTCCGGCTTTAGCAGATAGTTCCTTTTCTTTCCTTTCATGTTGTTTAGACATTGTGGTGTAGAGCAGTTTACTACATTCTATTAGCCTGTGTTTCCCGTGAGTTTCCGGGTTTTGGGATTTAGTTGTAGACTTCCGCATATTTTGAGTTGTATAGGCTGAGTGGCCTTATATACAGTTGTTACTTCCGTATGTTCAGTTTTAATTTATTATTCCGCAAATGTTAATTTGTTACTCCGTACTGTTAGGCTTACCTAGTTGTAGGAACTAGGTGCCATCACGACATGTTCATGGAGGGTGAACTGGGGTCGTGACAAGTTGGTATCAGAGTTCTAGGTTCATAGAAGTCACGGAACACAGGCCGGTTTATTAGAGTCTCGCTGATCGGTACGGAGACGTCTGTACTTATCTACGAGGGGCTATGTAACTGTTTAGGAAAAAAAATCTCCGTTTCATTTGAATTCCTTGTCGTGCGATATTTTGGACATCAATTCTAAGCTTCTGACTTCTATTCTCTCACAAATGGTGAGGACACGTGCTACTCGAGATGATCAGACACCCGCGCCCCCTACTGCAGCCGCTAGAGGTCGGGGCCGGGGGAGAGGTCGAGGATGCGTACGTGGTGCAGCCAGAGCACCTGCACGAGCTGCCGCCGAGGTACCACCAGCAGATCCAGCCGGAGCCTAGGCACCTGGCACACCTACTACTGCCACTACTACTCCAGCGATCCAGGAGACTTTGGCTCATTTCATGAGCATGTACACCACCTTGGCTCAGGCGGGGTTGCTTCCCCTTGCTGCAGCCACATCCCAGGCCGGGGGAGGAGAACAGACTCCCGCCGTCCGCACTCCTGAGCAGCGAGTGCAGGTTGAGCAAGTTCCCGAGATTATTCCGGCATCGCCTGCAGCACCAGTTCAGCCCGAGGATGGGTCAGCTGCTTCAGAGGACGAGCAGCGCAGGCTTGAGAGGTTTAAGAAGTATGATCCCCCAGTGTTCAGTGGATTAGCATTAGACGATGCCTTGGGATTTCTAGAGGAGTGTCATCGTATTCTTCGCACTATGGGCATAGTGGAGTCCAGCGGGGTTTCTTTCACTGCTTTTCAGCTTCGGGGAGCTGCCTATGACTGGTGGCGAACTTATGAGATAGACAGTCCAGTCGAGGCTGCTACACTGACTTGGACCCAGTTCTCGGATATGTTCATGAGAGAGTTTGTCCCCCAGAGTCTCAGGGATGCATGGCGCGCAGAGTTTGAGCATTTGCGCCAGGGTGCTATGACCATTTCGGAGTATGCTATCCGTTATACCAGGTTGGCCAGGCATGTACCGGCTTTGGTTGCTACAGTTCGGGAGAGAGTTCGCAGGTTCATTGAGGGTCTTATTCCACCGATCAGATCTAGCATGGCTCGAGAGTTGGAGATGGACATTCCTTATCAGCAGGTAGTGAGCATTGCTAGGAGGATTGAGGGTATGCTCGCCAGGGAGCGAGGAGAGAGGGAGGCCAAGAGGTCCCGAGAGTCGGGTCACTACTCTGGTGCCCGTACCCCATCAGCAGGTCGTTATAGCAGAGGTTATTCGGGTCGCCCTGTACATTCAGCTCTTCCAGCAGCCGGCAGTACTCCAGCTCCACCTCCACCTCAGGAGCCTTATTATTCACCTCCAGTTTCTAGCGCGCCTCCTGCGCGGGGTGCTTCCAGAAGTCAGTCCAGCAGGCCTAGTCCTAGTCAGTCATAGCCACCGCGTCCTCCCAGAGCTTGTTTTGAGTATGGTGATACACGCCACATGGTTAGGGACTGCCCCAGACTTGGTAGGGGTGCATCTTCACAGACTGCTCAGCCGCAGCATACTCCTCAGAGTTCTCAGGCCATGATCACAGCTCCAGCAGCTACCCCACCTGCCCAGCCGGCTAGGGGCGGGGGTCGGGGAGATAGAGGTCGCCCTCGAGAGAGGAGCCGGGCCAGATATTATGCTATTCCTGCTCGTACTGAGGTTGTTGCCTCCGACTCCGTCATTATAGGTATTATTCTGGTTTGTCACAGAGAGGCATCGGTTCTATTTGATTCGGGCTCTACTTACTCTTATGTGTCTTCTTACTTCGCTCCTCATTTGGGTGTGCCTCGGGATTCTTTGAGTGCCCTCGTTTATGTTTCTACTCCTGTGGCAGATTCTCTTGTTGTGGACTGCGTTTATCGGTCATGTTTGGTTACTATTCGTGGTTTTGAGACCAAAGCAGACTTATTATTACTCGGTATGGTGGATTTTGACATTATTCTGGGCATGGACTGGTTGTCGCCCCACTTTGCTATTCTTGATTGTCACGCCAAGACCGTGACGCTGGCTATGCCAGGTGTTCCGCGTGTTGAGCGGAGTGGTACTTTAGATCACACTCCCAGCAGAGTTATCTCTTTTCTTAAAGCTCAGCGCATGGTTGAGAAGGGGTGTGCCGCGTATTTGGCTTATGTGAGAGATGTTAGTGTTGATACCCCTTCTGTTGATTCTGTTCCAGTGGTACGGGATTATCCCGATGAATTTCCAGCTGATCTTCCAGGCATGCCGCCTGATAGGGACATTGATTTTGGCATTGATTTGTTGCTGGGCACTCAACCCATTTCCATTCCTCCGTATCGTATGGCTCCTCCTGAGTTGAAGGAGTTGAAGGATCAGTTACAGTAATTGTTTGGTAAGGGTTTTATTCGACCCAGTGTTTCACCGTGGGGTGCTCCTATTTTGTTCGTGAAGAAGAGGGATGGTTCCATGCGCATGTGTATTGACTACCGCCAGTTGAACAAGGCTACAGTGAAGAACCGTTATCCTTTGCCTCGTATAGATGATCTGTTTGACCAGCTTCAGGGCGCACATGTATTTTCTAAGATTGACTTGCACTCAAGGTACCATCAGTTGAAGATTCGGGAGCCTGATATCCCGAAGACTGCCTTCAGGACTCGATACGACCATTACGAGTTCCTTGTTATATCATTTGGGCTGACCAATGCCCCTGCAGCTTTCATGCACTTGATGCACAGCGTATTCAGGCCATATCTTGACTTGTTTGTGATTGTTTTTATTGATGATATTCTGGTGTATTCCCGGAGTCGGGAAGATCATGAGCAGCACTTGAGGACCGTGCTACAGACCTTGAGGGAGAAAAAGTTATATGCAAAGTTCTCAAAATGTGAGTTTTGGCTGAGTTTTGTGGCATTCTTAGGCCATGTGATTTCTAGTGAGGGTATTCGGGTGGATCCGAGGAAGGAAGAGGCCGTACAGAGTTGGCCCAGGCCGTCCTCAGCTACACAGATTCGCAATTTCCTTGGCTTGGCGGGTTACTACCGTCGTTTCGTGGAGGGATTTTCATCGATTGCTGCCCCTATGACTAGATTAACCCAGAAGGGTGCCCCATTTCGGTAGACAGAGGAGTGTGAGGCGAGCTTTCAGAAGCTCAAGACAGCTTTGACTACAGCCCCTATTTTGATGTTGCCTACCGGTTCGGGGTCTTATACTGTCTATTGTGACGCCTCGAGAGTTGGCCGCGGAGCAGTGTTGATGCAGGACGGTAGGGTGATTGCCTACGCGTCCAGACAGTTGAAGATACATGAAAAGAATTACCCTGTCCACGACCTTGAGTTAGCTGCCATTGTTCATGCCTTGAAGATCTGGCGTAATTATTTATATGGAGTGCCTTGCGAGATCTATACTGATCATCGGAGTTTGCAGCACTTGCTCAAGCAAAAGGATCTTAATATACGTCAGAGGAGGTGGTTAGAGCTGCTGAAGGATTATGACATCACTATCCTATATCACCCGGGCAAGGCCAATGTGGTGGCGGATGCCTTGAGTCACCGGGCGGAGAGTTTGGGGAGTTTGGCATATTTACCAGCTTCAGAGAGGCCTATGGCGATGGATGTTCAGGCCTTAGCCAGCCAGTTCGTGAGATTGGATCTTTCGGAGCCCAATCGAGTTCTAGCTTGTGTGGTTTCCCGGTCCTCCTTAGTTGATCATATCAGGGAGCGGCAGTATGATGACCCTCACTTGCTTGTCCTTCGGGACAAGGTTCAGCGTGGAGATGCCAGGAATGTGACCATTGGAGATGATGGCGTATTGAGGATGCATGGCCGGATTTGTGTGCCCAATGTTGATGGTCTTCGAGAGATGATTCTAGCAGAGGCCTATAGTTCGCGGTATTTCATCCATCCGGGTTCCGCGAAGATGTATCAGGACCTGAGGCAGCACTACTGGTGGAGGCGGATGAAGAAGGATATAGTTGGTTATGTGTCTAGATGCCTCAACTGCCAGCATGTGAAGTATGAGCACCAGCGCCCGGGTAGGTTGCTCCAGCAGATAGAGATTCCGGAGTGGAAATGGGAGCGCATCACCATGGATTTTGTATCTGGACTTCCACGGACACTGAAGAAGTTTGATTCCATTTGGGTTATTGTGGACCGGCTGACCAAGTCCGCTCATTTCATTCCTGTGTGTACCACTTATTCATCGGAGCGGTTGGCGGAGATCTATATCAGGGAGATCATCCGTTGCATGGTATTCCAGCTTCTATTATCTCAGACAGAGGTACTCAATTTACATCGCGGTTCGGAGAGCTGTGCAGCAGGAGTTAGGCACTCGGGTGGAGTTGAGCACAACTTTTCACGCCCAGACGGACGGACAGTCCGAGCGCACCATTCAGATTCTTGAGGACATGCTCCGTGCGTNCCTCCCTCTCAGGAACCGCAAAAGGGGTCGCCTTTCCGCTGAAGCGGAACCGCAGGAGCGTTGTGTGTCCGCAGAAGCGGACTCTGGTCCATTAAGTGAAAACCGCAGAAGCGGTTGTTTTTCCGCATATGCGGGACCGCAGAAGCGGTCCCTTGTCCGCAGAAGCGGAAATCCCTGGGCAGAAATAGAAATTTCGAGGGTTTGAGTTCATAAGTTACAAAAATCAATTGAGAGCTCGGTTTAAGGCAATTTTTGAGTGGGATTTGAAGTGAAGATCACTGGGTAACGTTTCTTTGGTCCCTTCTTGTTATATTTCATCATTTTATAGTTAAATACACCATTGGAATTCGAATTTAGGATCAAAAATTGGAAGAAACTTCATAGACCTAATTATTGAGTTTTGAGTGGGCAATTGACCTCCGATTTGGGAGATTTTTATATGGTTAGACTCGTGAGAGTACGAGGGTTCTGAAAATGTGAAAATTATTCGATTCCGGGGCGTTGGCCTGGAGGGCATTTTGGTCATTTCACCTAATTTTACGCCGTAGCCTTGAATTTATTAGCAAAACCAGGTGTTTGCGATGTTATTTACAATGTGTAATTGAATTGAATAGATTTGAGCCATTTAGAGTCGGATACTCGTGGCAAGAGCGTGATTTCTAGTTGATATTGAGCCGGTTCGAGGTAAGTGGCTTGTCTAACTTTGTCTGGTGACCTTTTCCCCTTAGGATATGATCTTTGAATATTTGAATGCCCCGTACATGAGGTGACGAGCGCGTACTTGAGCTAATTGTTGTAAATCTACTTGAAGTATTTAAATTGAGCTTTCTTGTTTACTTGTTCATTTTAACTGTAAGTTTGTACCTGTGCTAGCTTAGAGACTCATGTTTAGCTGGCTTACCTGCTTATTTGCTTTAACTGTGCTATTTGTACTCTGTGAAGCATGTATAATTTATTACTTCGTGTCCTGATTTTTAGCATTGTTCCGAGATTTAGGAATCGTTGTTGTTGTGTGTTTAATTTGGGACTACGGGACGGCTTCCCGGGAGATCCCTCTGTACTTGAGATATTCTGGACTGAGGGTGCAGGATACCAAGAGATCCCTGGCACATGTGTTTCTATATATATATTGGGATACCAAGAGATCCCCGGTTTACTTATTGAGGATACCAAGAGATCCTCGGGATACTAAGAGATCCCCGACTTACTTATTGAGGATACTAAGAGATCCTCGGGATACCGATAGATCCCCAGTGTTGATGATGAGGATACCAAGAGATCCTCGGGATACCAAGAGATCCCCCGGCTACTATTCCTTGTGAGGGCAGTTTTCCGTGTATTGTTACCTTTGCTTTCTATTACTGTTCTTCCTTATTTACCTGGTTTAGATTCTCGCTGTAGACTTTATTTAAACTATTTCTGTTATCTCATTATTTATTATGTTACCTCAGTAGGGCCCTGACCTTCCTCGTCACTACCCAACCGAGGTTAGGCTTGGCACTTACTGAGTACCGTTGTGGTGTACTCATGCCCTTCCTGCGCATGTTTTTCATGTGCAGATCCAGGTACTTCCTCCCAGACGTATCATCCTCGTGGTGGAGAGTCCTAGCTGAGACTTGAGGTATATCTGCTACATTCGCAGACCAGGAGTCTCTACTCTATTCCGGCTTTAGCAGATAGTTCCTTTTCTTTCCTTTCATGTTGTTTAGACATTTTGGTGTAGAGCAGTTTACTACATTCTATTAGCCTGTGTTTCCCGTGAGTTTCCGGGTTTTGGGATTTAGTTGTAGACTTCCGCATATTTTGAGTTGTATAGGCTGAGTGGCCTTATATACAGTTGTTACTTCCGTATGTTCAGTTTTAATTTATTATTCCGCAAATGTTAATTTGTTATTCCGCACTGTTAGGCTTACCTAGTTGTAGGAACTAGGTGCCATCACGACATGTTCATGGAGGGTGAACTGGGGTCATGACATGTTTCGTTTTATTTTTTGCAGAAATTATTTTCGAACATAGTTTGATAACAAGCTTAAGGAATTAAAAAAAATTTATATTTTGTGTTCATCTTACTTTATGCTTTGGGAGATTAAAATCCTAGCGATTTTCTATTCTAGTTTTGGAGATTAATCTTCGGATTATCTACTCCAGTTTGAAATTAAAGTCTTTATGACTTTCTACTCAATCCGAGATTAAAATCCTTGTGATTTTCTACTCGATTGTTTGTATTCGATTTGAAGATATAAAAACTTCACCGATTTACTAATTCTGGGTGTGTCAATTTCTTTTACAGAAAATGACAACGGGTACGGGACAATGGAATGGTTCTGTTGGAACTACTACTGCTACAATGGCTACTACGTCTTCAAGTCGCACAACTTTTGCACCAGCGATGAAACCGGCAGAAAAGCCCGAAAAGTTTTTCGGCATGGACTTTAAGTGTTGGCAGTAGAAAATCTTCTTCTACCTGACCACGCTTAGTTTACAATGCTTTATCAGCAAGGACATTCCAGTTTTGGGAGAAGAAACTCCTGAAAATGAGGGATTTGTGGTCACGGGGGCATGAAAGCATTCTGACTTCTTGTGCAAAAATTATATTTTAAGTTTCTTAGAATACGGCTTGTACAATGTTTATAGCATCATGAAAACATCACGAGAGTTGTGGAGTGCTCTTGAAAAGAAGTACAAGACAGAAGATGCTGGACTTAAGAAGTTTGTGGCCGCCAAATTTCTGGATTTCAAAATGGTTGACAGAAAATCTGTCATAACGCAAGTCCAATAATTGTAAGTGATTGTTCATGACCTCCTTGCTGAAGGTATAATCGAGTCAATATTTTTATTCAAGATATTATTACTAATTATATATTTATGATTGAAGGTATGGTCATAAATGAAGCGTTTCAAGTTGCGGAATTTATTAAAAAGCTACCTTGTGGAAGGACTTTAAGAATTACTTGAAACATAGGTGCAAGGAAATAATGATTGAAGACCTTATTGTTCGTCTACGGATATAAGAGGACAACAAGGCTGCAAAGAAGAAGTCCTGTGGTAACTCAACAATAATGGGAGCAAATATTATTGATGAAGCATCTACAAGTAACAAAAAGAGAAAGAAGCCATCTGGTACAAAGAATTACCCGAGCAAGAAGATATTCAAAGGTAATTTCCACAACTGTGGAAATGTTGGACATAAGGCTGTGGAATGTCGTGCATCGAAGAAGGACAAGAAGAAGAGTCAAGCAAATATGGTTGAAAAGAATGATGAAATGGAGGGCTTATGTGCCATGCTATTTGAATGCAGCTTGGTAGGAAATCCCAAAGAGTGGTGGATTGATTTTTGAGCCACTCACCATGTTTGTGCTAACAAAGAGTTATTTACCTCTTATGTTCCCGCAGGGCCCGACGAGACTATCTTTATGGGAAACTCCGCAACAACAAAAATTGAAGGAGTTAGAAAGATATCTTTGAAGATGACTTCATGCAAAAGTTGTGACTCTAAACAATGTTCTCCATGTTCCTGAAATTCGAAAGAATTTGGTCTCTGCTGGACTTCTTATCAAGAATGGATTTAAGTGTGTGTTTGTTTCTGAAAAAGTTGTAATAAGTAAGAATGATGTGTATATAGGAAAAGGTTACCTAACTGAGAGCTTTTTCAAGTTGAATGTAATAGCTATTGATATCAATAAAGTTCAAGCTTCTTCTTACTTACTTGAGTCAAATAATTTATGGCATGCACGTTTAGGTCATGTCAACTTCAAAACTATAAAAAAAATGGTTAACTTTGATGTATTGCATAAATTTGAGTACAATAATTTGAAATGTCAAATATGTGTGGAATCTAAGTATGTTAAACATCCTTATAAGTCGATTGGAAGGAACTCAAATCCTTTAGACTTAATTCACACAGATATTTGCGACATGAAGTCAATACCATCCCACGGTGGAAAAAGTATTTCATAACTTTTATTGACGACAATACTAGATATTGCTATTAATAGTAAATATGAAGCAATTGAGGCATTCAAGCAATACAAAAATAAAGTTGAAACACAACTAAAAAAAGGTCGAAATGATAAGAGTGATAGGGTGGCGAATATGAATCTCCTTTTGAAGAAATATGTTTGGAATATGGCATTATTCACCAAACAACTGCCCCTTACTCACCACAATCTAATAGAATTATGGAAAGAAAGAATAGAACATTAAAGGAGATGATGAATGCCTTGTTGATAAGTTCGGGTTTACCCCATAACTTGTGGGGGAAGTGTCACGACCCAAAAATCCACTAGTCGTGATGGCACCTAACCCAACCTGCTAGGTAAGTCGACTAATAACTATCCAATTTCAATAATATTAATAAAACAATTAAATGGAAGAAAAATATCTGAAACTTATACATTCCCCAAGAACTAGTAGTACAAATCATGAGCTTCTAAGAATAGAATTTACAAAGCTGATATGAAGTAAATACATCTTATGTTTGAAAAGTACATAAACAGAATTTTATGAATCTATAATTTACGGCTACCATGAACAAGAGGCAGCTACTACCGGAACACATGTACATCTTCAAATACAGCTCCCATCGAACACAGCAACCTCAACAGCCAACATCTGCACGCAATGTGCAGAAGTGTAGTATCAGTAAACTGACCCCATGTACTGATAAGTAACAAACCTAACCTAAGTTTGAAAGTAGTGACGAACTGGAACATAGGTCGGGTCCAACACCAATAGCCAACAACAGTTCATAACAATGTAAGGAAATTAAATGAAGAATTAGCTCAGAGATAAAATGCTCAGCCTTTTCATAGTTTTCCAAAAATAGTTCCGCTTTTCAAGTATATCACTGAAACCCAAATCCTTTACCGAAATCATCAAAAATATGCGTAAGTTTGAAAACTAAAATTTTTCCCAGAAACCTTTCATCAGGTAAATGTTCCATTTTCAGATAGCATGATGAAAGTATATCTCAATGCCTACATGTCAAGATACAGGTAAAATCATGAATATCACCAAAACCGGAAGGAAATGCATCTCTATGCATGTATCTTAAGTACGCATGTTAAATGCAATGCCTCTCAATGATGAACTCATGTACTCACACTCTCAGAGTACTTAACCTCATTGTCTCGCATTATCTCTTACAGTGCTCAATATTCAACACACTCAATCACTCAGCACTGTAAAACACTCGTTACGGCATGCGACCCGATCCAT